TCCTCTCACCTAAGGGCTAACATCTTTCTTTAGTTTTCAAACATCAGAACCAAATTGGGGATTACCAAATTGGAAATTTTAGTCTCTCACCCTAAAATCTCTAATTCTACTCCCATCAAAACTTATTTCTATATTTATTTGCACTTAGTCTCAGGGACTACATTCTCATCAATGAGGTTAAATGTGATTCTTACTATGTTGGAACATAGCCCATTTTGGGTCACTATATTTTACAATAGATTTTAACAAATCAATTGGTCAGATGACAAGTAAATTAAGCATAAATTTCAAATCATCACAATTTATGGAATTTTGAAAGCATTTCTACTAAACTACATTCCTACACATAATTATTCCTCATTGTTGGGAGAAAGGCAAAGGAAACTACTCATATCTCATGGGGAAGAAACAACAACACATGGATTTATAGATAAATAAAAGTTTACTAGACAAGACTAAGTAAAAATAAACAAAGTACACAACTTATCTTTGAACTCCATCTCAAGCAACCCTTCAAGTTCATTTGAATCACTTACTCTCCTTACAATTCCACTCCAAACTTGCTTAGAACTGTAGTGAAGAAAAAATCTCTCACTTCTCCTCTGCTCCTCCAAGTCCAAGTAAGCCTCCATGACTTTCTCCTCTCTAGAAAGAATCCACTTCTCTCCAAAAGACTCTATTTTTCTCCTCCAAAAGTTTCTCCTTTGAATCTCTAGAAGTCTCTTTAAATAGAGCTCTCAAAATCCCCAAGAGTTTCTTCAAGCACCTCTTCAAAATTTGTCTACGTTCAATGGATATTTTAGATAACTGCCTCTCGTGCTAGATCCTGGCACCTAGGCACCAGACTCTCTGTTGTCTGACGCCTAAGCGCCAGATTGACATTAGCCTTTTTGTTTCATTTGACTCCAATTTGCTCCATTTTTTTTTCCATTTGCTCCATTTTTTTCCATTTGCTTCATTTAATATACCTACAACCAAAAATATTAAAAATATCTTTCATTAAAGCGCAATATCATAAAAAATAGATATTAAATTTGAAGTAAAAGCAACATGTTTTAGGCATGTCACCTTCTACAAACACCCTTGGATAACTCAAAGATCAATTAGCCAAAAAAATAATTACAATGGTTGGCTAAATATCTCCTAAGAATAATCTTCTAAAGATTGATAAAGAGATCAGATTAATCGGGACTTCTTAGACCAGAAAACTTATTAAGGAATTAAAATTTATAGTGTAAGGAATAGTGAAACTATCAGAATTCTTAAGTTTTTATTTAAGTTTTTTCAAAAGTGTTTCACTACATTTTTTAATTAAGGCCACAATCTCAAAATCACCAAACTTTTATTTCTTATTAAGGATATCTTTAACAAACTTAGCATAACTAAACAAATATTTTAAGGCTTCGACAAATGGGTTATAAATTGTTATTTAAAAAACTTCTAATAATCTAGAGAGTTGTTTAGCAAACTTGTATCATTTACGTCTTTAAGGAAAAGGTGGAGGTGGTATTTCATGTTCTTTTCTAAATTTTTTGGTTACTTTTTCTAAGTCTAGTGAAGATTTTTCACTAGATCACTCAGGCTCAGGTTCATTTTTGCTAGGCTTTTCTCTAATTACCTCCTCTAACTCCTTTCCATGCCTCAATCTTATTGCTTTACACTGCACTTTTCCTTTTTCCTTATGATTCACTTCGGTGTTGCTTGGTAACGTCCCTTAGGGTCTATCACTAAATGAATTTGTCGACTCTCGAAGTTAATAATTAATATCGATTTTTGTTGTAGTTTGGCTTTATAACTAATTAATTTCTCATTTGTAACACAGATCCTTCCAAAGGTGATTTCTTTTCTTTAAATTAGGATTTGGAAGTGAATCCAATTAAGTAAGTTGATTTTAGGTTGAGATTATTTGTTTAGCTATTGTAGTTGCCTATGGAGTTTATTTGGTTTAAACCCTACTGATGATTACTTATGTTTTGGCTCTTAGTATTCCAATTAAAATTTTGGTGATTTCCCTAACGATAGTTGTATGTGCTTGAATAGTAGTTGTTGCGCCTATCATTAAATGACATTCATTAACCTCATTAAAGGAATATTAGGATCAACTAACTATTCATAAGCATTTTTCTCAATTATTAGTGATCTTAGTGCATAATTCAAACTCAAGTTATCTAATTTTTTAGATATTCTTACTATCTGCAAATTTAAAATGGATCATAAACTTGCTCGTGAATGTTGGCTATTCTCCTAAGGTTGACTCTCTTAGAAGGCTAATTAAAATTATTAGTAATCTCCTTAATAAGTGCATAAGCTTTCTAGTATTATTCTGACATCAAAGACCCCCTATCAAAACATCTATTATAGACCTCAATGATCCCACCAACCTATTATAAAAATTTTTAATTTTAACCAATTACGAAAGGCAAGTTGTGAGAATTTCTTAAGAAGTTTCTTAAATATCTCTTATGCTTCATATATTGACTCACTATCCATCTAAGTAAAGAATTAAAATAATTCTTAAGCTCCATAATTTTGGATGGAGAAAAGTATTAAGCTAGAAACTTTTGTGCTAAATTATTCCAAATTATGATAGGCTCAGGTGTTAATGAATTAAACCACATCTTAGCCTTATCTTAAAAAAATGGAAAAAACCCATGTACAACAATATCATTTGAGATAAAAATGATATTGTTGTATCTAAGTTTCACACATAACTCTAAGAAGCTGGCAATATGTCAGTTTGGGACTTCATTAAAATAATATTATAGATTTAAGTTCAAAGATGTTGGCTTCAATGCTAAAGTTATTAATGCTCCAATGAGTTTCATCTATCACAAAGTACATAAAATTCTTAAGTGGTTTGAGTTGAATGTTTTCTTCCCTTGAGTATTTTATTTTTCCTAAATTTTTTTTTAGTTCCGTTGGTTTTCTGATTTTAAGTCTGAGTATTGAGTTTAACCTAATTGTCATTATACTTTTGTGTTATAAACTTGTCTAATTACACTTTTGGGGTCATTCCAATAAATTGTGTTTAATTTAAGTGTTCTTCTAGTCTATGGTCAATAGTCCTAAATCACAAAGTGTTTTAAAATTTCTAATGGATACCAAAAGAGTAAATTAAGTTTAAAAGGATAAGACATCAACATGTCATAATTGTATAAACAAATTGTATAAAATGAACTAAATTTTTACATTCCCAATCCAAATAAGCAAGTATATTAGTTCCTAGACATATGTGAATGAAAAAACACAACAAATTTCATGGAGAACAAAATCAAATTTCACAAAGAAAAAAAAAAGACCACAACCGGTTAAAATCACATTTTGCTCCAAGAAGATCCTTCCTATCACAATAAATTTATACCTTGATTCACTCTCACACAGTCACACAAGTGATATGTGCTCTCTCACATACTCTCTAAGCACTTTTTATTATTTACTATGCTGTTCAACTCTTCTCCCTAATGATTTATTTTTGTTCAATATTTGATGGCTTTTAAGTCATTACATCACCTAAACTGTTAGCAAATATTAGAAACGAGCTTAAGTCGGTGGGGGCCATCAGGGCACTAGATATGTAGCGTCATGGCATTAGAAACGGGCACGACGGTGCTACGTTCGAGCATTGCATTTCGTCTTTAATAATCATCAATCTAGGTCTTCAGCATGACAACATTGGTCTAGGTAGTGCAAGTACACTAGTAATTAGCGTTGGGGCATTTGGATCCTAGCAATGTGTTGTCATACTCCCTATATTTTGGACGAAAATGAGCAGCTTCGGGTGCTATGGCACTAGCTTTTAGGCGTTTGGGTGCTATCTTGCTTGCACCGTGTTGCTTCCTCTAGGATCTAGTCCATGTTAATTCTAATTCTTCTAAATATTTCATTGATCCAATATACTACACAAATACACAACATATGCCAACAAAAAAGAAACATCAAAATGATACAAAATTTATACTAAATACCATAAAATACTGTCATATTTTACACATATCATAAATAAGTCACAAAGCCATCATTGTTCGCCAGAGCTCATTACCAAAAACCACCAATGACAGTTGTAGTATTTTGTTTGCCTTCTGTCATCCCCCGTCTGCTGCCACCTGCCGCTCACTATTGCCGCTATCCAATTAGAATTAAATATTATTAAATTTATTTTACTTCAAACAAAACATAAATAAATTAAAAGCATTAGTTTCATAATCAATACAAGTATTCTAAAATATTTCAAATACATTACATTTTAATTATGCCATATTTCATATACTGCAAACTGCCCATAAATGAATGTTTTCAAGGAATGAATCCAAGTGCATCAACTTAGAAAATATCTCCTCATATGGTGCAAGCATTACATGAGAAAAACAAAAACTCTTGCATTAACATGAAGATGAAGGGGCATTTTGCTCAACTACATAAAGGATCTTCTGAACTTCTTATGTTTTTTGTTTCTTTTTTTTGCTAGAAAGTTCAAAATCTGTAATTTCATGTTGTGCTTCTCTCTTTCTCCCTGCAAGCAATCCATTTCTCTCCACATACTCAAATTTCTTACACAACAATAGGAAGACTTTGATCAATTACAAATTGCAGACATTCTGTAAATGAATATTAGACACAGAAGAAATTAAATTGAGATTTAAACAGTACACAGATAGAGATAATTGAATTCTTTACAATTGCTTCCAACCCAGCAACAATACATCCACAGTTGTTGCAGAAAACTGTTTCAATAAACAGGAATTCACATTATGAAGTCTTAACAAAATATTAAAAAAACTGCACATTAAAACTAAATTTTATAAAATGGGATCTGCCACGTGGCTCTTTCTCCCATCATTGGATCTGCCACGGGGCGCTGAGAACTCTCTGCCCAATGTAAAAATTGTTATTTTTAATGTATGTTTTTTTAATATTAATTTAAAAAAAAATTATGTCCCTACAAACATCTAGATTAATGAATACATTAAACGGCTACACTGATCAATCTGCATAAATCAATATCAATATCCTCTCCATAGGGATTCCTCCTGCTCCTGCCCCTGCTGCTTCTGCACAAATTCAGCAAATTTTAACTCCTGAGATCCAACAAAAGCATCCCCATTCCCCTCAAACGCACCCATACTTGATCCAGCATTGAATGATTCATTTGTTTGGCATCTACCATATAACAAGTTCATATATAGCTTCAAATCCATCTTATTTTCATCATCTACTTGCAATAATGGATTAAAATGACTTGAAGAATCACGAATATTATTCAAGATGGATGCATCAATATCTCCAAACTGGTCACTCAGTGTGTTTCCGGGAGATTCCAGCAACATGGAAGGAAAGCTTGAACCAGGCTTCTTCATATGAAAGTTGTCGCTTTTCTTGAAGATTTTGCACACAACCCATTCTTCCTGTATTTGTCATAATAGAAAAAATCAAATTTTGGCTAGTTAAAAAATCAAATTTTGGCTAGTTATATTAACTAGAAAGATAGCTGAGAAGAATAAGTACCTTGGATGATTTGTAAGGGAAATCGGTCTGTAGTCTGTATTCATGCATAACCCAGCTGGTCTTCTCGCCCTTGGGAGCTCTGCCCTTGTAAAAAACTAGTGTTTTCTTCATTCCGACAAGAACTCCATAGTGGAAGATCTCCTTGTCTTTGCCCGTTGTCTTCCAGTAGCCAGCATTGGTGGCTCGGTTGGTTCGCATACCCGTAGGGTATTTTCTATCTTTCAAGCTGAAGAAGTAGCCTACTTTCTCCCCCAAGCTGGCCTTCCCTGAAACTATTGATTCACTCTCACATGGT